CGATATTTGTATCAGCGGATTTCTAGTTTAACGGCTGGCAGACTATTCCCCTGGTTTCAAAGCGGGGAAATGACATACTTCCTTTTTTAGTTAAGTTCCCAGAAAAATTGTCTGTTTTACGGTTCTTATTTTTATTGTTATGAATTATTTATTAATCTTATATAAGAAGTTTTTAGTTGATTGAATACGGATATTCATTAGGTGAGTAATCGTTAAAAATAAATGCTAAACAAGTCGTTTTGACGACCAGAATTTATTTACGAGAGATTTGCATCAATATTGATTGTGTGATACGCCTCTGACGTATACAAAAATGAAAATACAACAAGATCCTCATAAAATATTAATAAAACTTTTATCGTATTTCTGAGTTGGTAACTTCTAGACGTCGCATGTTTATTTTGTAAGCCATAAAGGTTCCAGCGAATCAGTATAACTCGAAATTCCATTGATTTCGATACAATTTTAAATGATCCTTAGTAAACTCTTATAGTAGCGAAATTGTTTCTAGTTTTCATGAATTTATTTGTAAAAATACAAATATTCATAAGTATAATTTAGTAATTTTGAATAAATCGGTGGTTAGCGAAATGAAATCGTTGTGTTGCGTCATTTTGAAATACAAAAGTTAAAGAAATAGGGGTAACTGGGATTTATTTAATTGACCAAAGATTTTTGTCGGTACATCTGTTCATTGAACGGGCTTTATTTATATCGGATGTAATGTAAACGTAACACTCGCGCCCACTTACATACGCGTAAACAAAGAAAGTCACTGGCTAAATATAGTTCGTGAGGTCACGGCCGTGAATAATTTGCAATATCGGCTGCACGATTATTCCGCGTCAACCTGTATTTCCGGTTGGTGCTCTGCAACGTGAACCCGGCGCGGTCATTCGTACGCACTCTATGACTACAGGAGTTAGTTTGGTGCACAGAATAGCTATAGTTAGCTTGGTACACGGCCAGAAATTGCAGCAAGACGCGCGTGCTATTATGCTCACCGTCATAACACACTTCGAAACGTTGATGCCTATCGACGCAGAAATTCCAATGAAATGCGCCATTAATATGCGTCCACAAGCTGCATCCGAAATCGTCATGCAACTAGAAAAGAGATGACTCCGCTTACAAAATTAAATCGAGCATACATTTTGTAAGTTTATTACTGTACGTGGCCAAACGTGACACTAAACGAAAAATATACGGCAATACGCTGTGAAAATGAAATACGAGCCTTGTATTAGATAGGTTTCGCGGAGTAATGTTAATGCTCAGATGTGTGATGTACGGTAAAGTGAAAATTGTTGAGAAAATTATTATAATACAGTCTCATCTTTTAATTTAGCGAAGCTAACAGTATTTGACTTCATTTGTCTCTGCGTTCAAATTTGCAGCAGGAAAGAATTATTTTTATTTTATGTAATGAACATTTTTTAACTCTCCGAATACTTCAAATTTTATTTTTATTCCTTGTATATTTAGAAATAGATTGTGATATTTAGCAGATAGGTTCGGGGATAGATTTTCAAAGTAAAAGTACTACTGTGATAACGTACCGATTAAGTTGTTTTTTGTCTATGATATTATTATACGGAGATAATATATTTCGAAGGTAGTTTGATAGTGCAGCTTAAACGACGCCGCCGTTCTATGTTTAGATTCTTTTCATCTTCCCCAAGGGATTGTAGAAACCCTTAAAGCGCCACTGGCCAGACAGTGAACGAGGGTACTCACCCGCGCGTAAGTTATTAGCTACGACGGTTTTCTTAGACCGGATCAATTATTTTGCCTAAAGAATATACGATCGTATGTAATACTAGTGGTTCTTCCAGATGGAAATTTCCATCAAGTTGTCGCTCCAAGCACGTCCTTAATGTTATCGTATTTTACAATTATATTTTGTTATTTGTGTACGTGCATAGCATTACCACTCAGTTCAAGTTCATTAATCGAGAAATAATGATTCTCCATATCTGCATACACGTTTAAATATTTTTATACAATATTATTAGTAGAATATCATTGGTTGTCCAATTAAAGATTTTAATTCCTTTATTTACGGCATAAATACATAATTATTATACCTTGCACAGAAAGCCTTCACTAAATGAAATAAATAAATAAACCTCGCGTGGCATAAGAGAGTCAATAAGAAAGGAAATTAGAAAACATACGTTACACTTACCAGACATTTTCACTGTCATTTTGAAAACAAGCGTCGATACGTACAGGACGCTTCCACGTGTGCAAACGAAGGCATCCAATTAACGTGAACCTTTTAAGGAAAACTATGTCGAGTCTGCAGCGCACACCTGTAAATAGAAACCAACCCTTGCACCGGGTTCGATCGAAGAAAGTAAATTGACGACTGGTACTGGGTTCATCCAGATTGCAGAAAACTGTTCCCGATGGTAATCGGATTTTCATTTGTGATTCTACGATGTTCATTATCATTGTTCGTGAACGCCCCTTTGTACTGCTTTGTACCGGGCAAATCTAATATTCGTGCATTTGCTTATTCTTTACATGCGCGAGTGTCCACCTCACCGAATACATTTAAACCTATGTATACGTTAATTTCGTGACAAATAGTTTATTTTATCTGGCTGAGCGACTGTATGCTTGCATAATATTCGTCGAACGCGGTTACTCAAGAATGCAACGTGTACAACAAATACATTTATTTTCTGTTAGACTGAAAAATGTAAGAACACGTTAAGTATAATTTATATTAGTGTTTAGAAGTTATTTGAAAGTTTCGTTTATTTGTTAAACTTTCGAATAACTTCTAAACACTGATATAAATTAAACACTAATATAAACAGATATTGAACGTCCGGATTTCTTGTTTTGCAAGAACGTGTAAATAAATTTTTTAATATTTCAACAATGGTAATCAATTTTATGCATTTTCGGTTGGTGTTAAAATTATTGAAATTCTAATACGATAAAAAACGTGTTTGATGGGGGCACGAGGCCGTAGCGAGCGTCTTTCTAATGGGGAAAAAGTAATGAGTGCATTGACCGTCGTTCGCCCCTGGCTTTTGTCGGCGTTCTACGGAAGATGCAGCACACCTTGAAGAAAAATGGGATGGAACAGGTAGTTTAAGACAGTGAAAGAAGACGGCAGAGACAGACACAAGAAGAGACTATCCACGTGTCGGAGTAACGGTCCGCTGAATTATTTAAAGCATGACGGAGGACTTTGCAAGCGCAGGAGGTTCTTTGCACCCGAGTTGCATACAAGATACATACAGACGGATTTAAATACATCGTAGATGTGTCGGGAGATACGGTTACATTCTGCAGGTCGAGAAATTACATTTACACCGGCTGAATACTGCTTAAGACCGTATTACGTTGCCCACGTAAAACAAACAAGACGCTTGAAACTCGAATTGCACATTTGAACTCAATATTTTCTCAATTTTCCGTTCAGTTCACTGTCGTTTCCACATATACAATCATCATTATCACAAATATTAAGAAATCGATCACTTCTATACTAAATTAATCTACGTATACGCTAACAAAGAAACAACCATTTCATAAAATTAATATAAACTACCCAGTAGAAACATAAAAATACCTGGACACTTTTTTCTATCAGATTACCGTATCTCTCGCGAGCATCGCGAGTCCAGTTACGACGCGCATAAAGTGTTTACAAGAAAAAGAAAAATGGAGATGCTCAGTCGTTTCCATTTAAATGGCGCACCCCGTGCGAGAGGAGAGACATGGGCGGCCTGTAACCCGTAAAAATACATCGGGGTTATCATGAACTTCAACAATATCCTTCCCAGACATATTTATGTTGTTGCTGGCTCGTGTGTAGGCTGAAGATGCAACGATACATCCCGACTTATAGAACCAGTTGTAGCCGCGGCGAGCGAGGCGACTGTTCCCCCGCTGGGGATCAAGCCGAGGGAGGCAGAAAAGAGAAGAGGAGAAGCTGATCGAGATATAGGGCGAAGGAGAACGCGCGCGATACGGCGACAATGTATTGTAACATCACGTTCTATCAGACAGCTCGGCGCCCCACGCTCTATATTAATTACTTATCCGTCTGATTCGAAGTAAACGACGGGGTGCACCTACTTTTTTAGATTAATATTTTAGATAAGCACAATTTTTTTGCGTTTGTTGCGAACTGGTGGATGTCTGTGAGTTCGTAGATTTTTATGGATTAATTTGTAGAAATTGGAATCGAAGGGAATGTTGTATGAGTGTTATATCTGTGGGTGTTATTTATTTTATTTGTAGAAAAGATACATTATTAATATTAGTAATTAATGGAATGTTTGTTCATTAATTTCTTCAATCATTTTTTTTTGTATAGAATTATTTTCTTTTTGTATAGTTATTGGACACCCAGTATATCGAAAGAACCGTGTGTTTTTGGGTACTGTAAGGTTCTCATAGAAATAGCTCTGACTGCAGTGAATACGTAAGGTTTCTGTTAGGTCGGAGTGTTTCATCGAATGGTTTCAGAAAATCGGTCAATGTCAACTTTTCTCGTTCCGCTGTTCTGCAAAGACAAATAGCATTTTATCTTCTCTGTTCCTTTCGAAACGTATACATCTAGGTTGGAAGTCGATAGGGTTTTATCATGAATGATGTGTCCTTAGGCAGGACTCGGTTATTGGGTTGTTTAAAGCGGTCGATTGTAAGGCTGTTCTTTGGATTGTGCAGTGTTTGCCCTTTCAATTTCCATTTTTCAAACAATTTCTGTGGTTACGGAGACTGTTCAGGACTACATTCATGAATTAGTAACAAGTGTCCTTTCACATTCATACATTTTTTGCTCGGTTGAGCACATCCGATTGGCGGGTAACAAAGCAACCGCAGGAAATGATCGTACATGCGCGCGATACATGACCATGAGAGAAGGTATTAAAGCAGAGTACCGATATCAATTAACTGTCAGGTATCTTTTTTTTAATAGTAACTCATGTTACGCAGTTTCATTACAATGTTTCCTGTTTCTTTCCTTTTAGAGCGATCCCAGCACGGCTTTCCTTCGAGCAGCTCGTGCAGGGCAGTTGGAAAAGGTTTTGGAATACCTGGAATCGGGAGTGGACATTAATGCTTCGAATGCTGTGAGTTGATAATTTCAGTAACTTATGAAAACTTATATATTGGAGTTGGAAATATTTTTAAAAGAGTACACATTGCCGATTGAGATACCAGTTCACTTTTAATTTGTTTTTTATGTTAATATAATTCATTTCTGTTTTATATTGTATTTAATGTATAATGAGACTTCCTTTGTTTTTGTTTTATAATATTGAATAATTCATGTAAATGTAGAACAATTCTGAATTAGAATATTGTATAATATTTGGGAAATGCAGTATTTGCTTTGGAAGATACTCCAAAAAGGAACGAAGAGGGTGCATAATATTATATTTATGAAATTTGGGGGTTGCGGTCATTTGTTCCTTCAGAATAGGGTACTCGACAGCTGCTAAGCACGATTCACAGAAAAAGGGACCATTGAACTGTGAACAACCAGATGAAAGTTTGTCCCCATTTCTAATGGTTCCCGAGCAAACAGTTTGGGTCTTTTTGTGCTGCCCATCTTGCTAATTTTCTTTCATGACCGCTTTTCAAATTTTCTTTTATTAGATTTTTAAACTAAATTGTCGGTTCCCCGTGAAAACTTACAAAAAACAGCATTATTTATAGACTGACTTAATGTCGATTAGAGGTGTCCTTAAAGGAAAATATACGATGATGCATTAATTACAGAATGGCTTGAACGCTTTACACCTGGCAGCTAAAGATGGACACTTGGAAATCGTCCGAGAACTTCTTAACCGTGGCGCAGTGGTTGATGCCGCTACCAAAAAGGGAAACACCGCATTACATATAGCTTCTCTTGGTGAGTCGACATTTTTATTCGTATTTTTTATATGGGACAAGGGTATTGGTGTAATTAAAGATGGAATATGATTAACGGAATTAGGATGGGAACGTTTACATCCTGATAAGATATTCAAATAAACGAGAATTTTTATTAAACTCTTTGTTACAGCTGGACAGGAGGAGGTGGTACAATTGCTCGTACAACGAGGTGCTTCTGTCAATGCACAGTCACAAAATGGATTCACACCACTTTATATGGCTGCACAGGAGAATCATGATTCGGTAGTCAAATACCTTTTAAGTAAAGGCGCTAATCAAACATTGGCCACCGAGGTTCGTAAACAGCATATATCCTTGTTTCATAAGTCAAATATTGAACAAAATATACGTTGACAGATGTTTTCATAGAAAACCGAAAAAATTCGTTGCCCAAAAAATTGAATCCCTTATAAAATCACGAACTGACTAATATTTTTAGAAATAATATAATAAAATCAACTCAATGGAATGAAGACGGATTCTGTCTTCTGTCGAATATAAAAATGCCAGTTAATAAATTTTAATGAATACTTGTAGGATGGCTTCACCCCATTAGCAGTAGCGATGCAACAGGGCCACGACAAGGTGGTGGCAGTTCTATTGGAAAATGACACTCGTGGTAAAGTTCGATTGCCTGCCCTCCACATTGCTGCCAAGAAAGACGATTGCAAAGCGGCTGCCCTACTTTTACAAGTATGTCGCAATAATTTGTTACCGAGGCCCTACATTCAATCCGACGCAATCGCCAACGAAAAGGAATGAATCTAATGCTTATGGTTTCATTACCTGGTTTCTGTCCTAGAACGATCACAATCCCGACGTAACATCGAAGAGCGGCTTCACGCCGCTCCATATTGCTGCTCATTATGGCAACGACCGAATCGCTTCCTTGCTTTACGACAGAGGAGCCGACGTTAATTTCGCTGCAAAGGTAAACAATCTTCAGTCGTAAGTTAAAAATTTCAAATATTCGGACACGAAAACATTGAAGAAAGCATGATAAATAAATACCACAATAGTTAGTAGATTGTAAAAACTTTATGGCACTCAAAAATGTCAAAGGTATAAGAAAACTCTTTGTTGAACAAATTAAATAACTATAGCTATAAGACATTTGAAAGGATACACCTAAATATTATGAGACTATAAACAAAGGGTATTTTTTATATTTAGCACAATATTACGCCAATGCACGTGGCAGCAAAATGGGGCAAAATCAAAATGGTGAATCTTCTGATGAGTAAGGGAGCGAATATCGAAGCGAAAACGAGAGACGGCCTTACACCCCTCCATTGCGCGGCACGGTCGGGTCACCACGAGGTAGTTGACATTTTGATAGAGAAGGGTGCACCAATCGGCTCGAAGACGAAGGTAAGAGCATTCCTTCGAATGCACTTGCACGCGGCAAGGTAAAAGGTTTTCCGGGGACTGTATCGGTTGACCCGTTGTTTTTCTGTTGACAGAACGGTCTTGCTCCGTTGCACATGGCTTCTCAAGGAGATCATGTTGACGCTGCGAGGATATTATTGTATCATCGTGCACCCGTAGACGAAGTGACGGTAGATTACTTGACGGCGCTACACGTGGCAGCTCATTGCGGACACGTACGGGTGGCTAAACTTCTTCTCGATAGAAACGCCGATCCGAACGCACGAGCTCTAAACGGCTTTACTCCACTCCATATTGCCTGTAAGAAGTACAGACTGAAGGTCGTTGAGCTCCTTTTAAAGCACAAAGCTAGCATCGAGGCTACAACAGAGGTATGTATGCCCGTTTTCGCATTTCATCTAGTAGATTAGTTAAGTTACGTCATAGGTATTATTAAGCTGATAGTAAATCACACTATTATTCACCTCAACCAATGTGTTGACTTTGAAATTGCATATCACCTGAACGGTAATAAAAATGATACATTCGTTCTTATACATTTTACATAATGTCTAAAAAAAATTGAAAATATATGGTTTGTCATAAATTGAATGTTAATATTGAGGATTTTAAATGTTTTAATTGGTGAATTACAAATTTATTTCTCTTAGAATTGCATGGTTCTATGCATTTACAAAGTTAAACTAATATAGTGTCCATTTAGAGAAGGGAGATTATTAAAAATTATGAATTCTTTTAAATTAATAGAATAATGTTATGATTTCTTAGTAATAACAGATTTATTTTATTGCTTAGTCTGGATTGACGCCCCTACACGTAGCAAGTTTTATGGGGTGCATGAACATAGTGATTTATTTATTGCAACATGCAGCTAATCCTGATATACCAACTGTAAGGGGCGAAACGCCTTTGCATTTAGCTGCGCGAGCGAATCAGACTGATATTATCAGGATACTTCTTAGAAATGGTGCCCAAGTTGACGCAAGAGCACGGGTAAAGAAAAAAACGTTTAATATTTCTGCATTTCGTTTGCCATTTATCTATTAGAGCAACAAAGAATTTTAAATATTACTTAATTTCGTTACTCATATTTTTTCCAACCCTTCGCTTTCGCGACCATGTGTAAAAATCGTGTAAACATTGCAGGAAGAGCAAACACCTCTACACGTTGCTTCCCGATTGGGCAATGTTGACATTGTAATGCTATTACTTCAACATGGTGCAGATGTAGATGCTACCACAAAAGATTTATACACACCGCTTCATATCGCTGCCAAAGAAGGTCAAGAAGAGGTACATATTGAAATACACAATATCATTAAATATTAATAATAAATTTTTAAATAGCTGTATCGATGTATGAAATATTGATTTTATAAATGCTTGTGTCGAACTATAGGTGGCATCCGTTTTGTTGGAAAATGGTGCATCGCTTACCGCTACGACCAAAAAGGGATTCACTCCGTTGCATTTGGCAGCTAAATATGGTAACATGAAAGTAGCAAGACTATTGTTGCAGAAGAATGCACCAGTCGATGCTCAAGGAAAGGTGAGAGGAAATTTTGTTATTAACACGTGACTTTCCATTGTGGGCCATCGTGATTCATCGATAGTCCATGTGCAGCGCAATGTGTTGCTTTAATATAAAATACTAAACATATTAATTAAATGCAGAATGGAGTAACACCGCTTCATGTGGCATCTCATTATGATCATCAAAATGTGGCGCTACTTCTACTAGATAGGGGCGCGTCGCCTCATGCTATGGCTAAAAATGGTCACACACCACTGCATATTGCTGCACGTAAAAATCAGGTGAATAACATTATAATACAACATGCGGAAAAATCAATTACTTCGAATATTAATTATATATACATCGTCTTGTTTTACGTGTGATGCAGATGGATATTGCAACTACTTTATTAGAATATGGAGCGAAAGCAAATGCAGAATCAAAAGCAGGATTTACGCCGCTACATTTGAGTGCGCAAGAAGGCCATACCGATATGTCAACGCTTCTCATCGAGCACAGAGCAGACACAAATCACAAAGCAAAGGTAAGAACGTACTGCACATTGAATTGTTAGAATTTATAATATTAATTTGTATTAAATATAATATTATTTATCTTTGGCAGAATGGCCTCACGCCGCTTCACTTGTGCGCACAAGAGGACAAAGTTAATGTTGCCTCCATCCTAGTTAAAAATGGTGCTCAGATTGATGCTAAAACAAAGGTATGCTTTTATTTTTCATTAAATGTTAAAGTACTGTAAAACTATACTTGAATTTTTTATTTAATAATAAAAACTATTAATTTTTGCTTCAGGCTGGTTACACTCCACTACACGTGGCAGCTCATTTTGGTCAAGCAGCTATGGTCCGATTCCTTTTGCGATCTGGTGCAGCTGTTGACAGTAGTACAAATGCAGGATACACGCCGTTGCATCAAGCTGCGCAACAGGGTCATACAGTAGTAATTACTTTATTGTTAGAGGGAAAAGCTAAGCCGAACACTACAACTAATGTAAGTTAATTTTTAAGATATTTACTCCTTAAGTTTTTTATCACTTTAAATGCTTTTATATACTTCATGTAAAAATATTTTTTCTTTTACAGAATGGTCAAACCGCGTTGGATATTGCACAAAAACTTGGTTACATTAGCGTCATCGAAACTTTGAAAGTAGTTACCGAAACCGTTATTACGACAACTCACACTATTACTATCGAAGAGAAATATAAAGTTCAAGCGCCGGAATCAATGCAAGAAACATTCATGAGCGATAGCGAAGACGAAGGTGGTAAGTCGTTGTTTCCATTTCATTTCATTAAATCGTTTTACAGTATTATTTCATATTGTTTATTTTCTAACTTTACGTTTTTTGTACTTACATTTAAGGTGAAGTATTGTAGGCAATTATTTTCTTAAACTTACCATAGAATTTTATGAAATAGGCTGTAGTAATCTGCGGTTATGATTGTAATATAATTCAGCTTTTGTGATGCGCTTCTTTATAGTCGTAGCAGCTCATGATATTTAGAGATTAGATTATTCTTCTATACAAATTTTAATGATTAATGTTTAACACATGTTAGATTTTCTTGCATGAAATTAACTCTTTAACTGAGAAACTTAACTTCAATCAAATCAAGCAGATACATATAGATGACTAACTTTATTTATTGTAAAATTGATTACGAACAATTTTAAATATAAATCTTTGCCGCACTAATATTTAAATTGTCTACCAAATAAACACATGATAAAAGTGATAAGTTACAATAATAGTAAGAAATTTGATTATAAGCCACAACTCCGTGAGTTTTAATATTTCGATAGCATTTCGTTCCAGAAATGTTCATTTCTATAAAAGATGTATTGCATGGAAAATTGCAGTTAATCACAGGTCGGTTTTAATTGCACTGAAAACTATCGAACATTGCAAATCTATACCATAATGGCACTTTCTGAATGATTACACTTTACCAACGATTTCAAACTGCATGTATTTACTTAGATATATGAATGCACAAAAAGGTTCAAAATCTTTGAATGCGTTATAATCCTTCTCAATGACTTTTCCGGTCCAAATTAGTGTTAGTTTTCCCACCCTAGGCATCGTTATGATACAACTGACTTTCGGGCAGCAGAAACACTGACACTGTGATAGGTATTTGAAAGAAAAAAAGAAATACTACCGTGACGCCTTGCACTGAATATCGAAAGTGTTTCGGGAACCACAAATATATTTCAAATTATCAAATCGAAGTCCAAGTGCTAGATGGTGATATTATTTGCTTGTCTTGTTGCATTTATGTTCCATTCATTTCGCAAGAGCATGTGTTTAGAATATGTTCACTGGGTTGTTGCTAACATTGAGGAATATATTTAACTTTTCTATCTAGACGCATAGTTTTTAGACGTATCAAGAAAGATAGAGTAAAATATTACAAATATTTTGAATATTTAGTGTACCATATTATAGACTACAAAGATTTAGAAGTCCAGAGATAAATCCATGTCAGTAACGTAGTTATCTCCTTACACAGGTAATACTTTCATACAGGTACAAAAATTATCTGAAGTGAAACAATATTCCTTTTGTATTATAATTATCTGTGTAAGATTTGTATAGAAATATATATCTATGTAGAATACGTTCCTTTATCTATATTGAATTAGGTGGGTCGAAAATATTTATCACGAACGAGTATATTTAACAGGTTTGCTTGTTTGCTTAACGAAAATTTACTAAATCCTGTCGAATTCATTAACTGTACAAGAGAAATGAATTTAAATATTCAAAGGGTAAATATAAATAAAATAAAAAATAATAAAATTAATGTAAAGATTACAATTTCGAGTTATTAATATTTCTGGCACTCATTAAGCGAAGTTCTACATTATATAATTTTCATGGAAACATAGTAGATTTCAGTTATGCACAATTACAAAAGAAAATAAAGGGAAAGTGTAATTGTAAGTAAACCAGAATACTTTAAAATATTTTTTAACTAGTTAAAAATGTTAAAGAAGTCGAAGCAAACGAACAAACCGCGTTTCCGAGGTTCGCTTATCTTCTTCTACGTAAAACCGAGTCTACATTTGTATAACGGTGCGTCACACACAAGCCCGAGATCCAGTTAGAAGGGTCGATTTTCTCAGAAAACGTTTACCAAAAAAATCAACAAGCTTGATTGCATATTAAAAAATTAATCAAAGTATGCACCCATGTTGAATATAAACAATTTTCAGCAATAAAAATTTGTACCACTTTTATTGAATAATCAATTTATATTTTATTTATATGTCATATATTTGTCACGAATGATAGAAATACATTTTATTTATTGTCTCTACACATCGTGTTTAAAACAAATATGTTTTTAAACAAACTTGACATAGATTAAAATTGTCCTATCATCACCATAGTTGCTAACTGTTTCACGATATAGACGGCATATTTTAATATTTCGTAATAAATGATAAATTTATAAAAAAGAAACCCTCTAGCGTAAATGGCATTTGGTCGTGTAAAGTGTTCACACTGTTGCACAAATGCGGACCCGGCGATAGAACGTAGGCCGCCTAACTATTTAACAACCCAGTGATAGCGAAAATTTAGAAACAGTGTTTATGGTGCAAAACTAGCATTTTGATAAGAAAAATGACCTTACTCGACGGCGTACGATGTAGGTGGTGATGAAATCGGCATGGCAGCCATGAATGTGTACGGGCAGCCTCCACACGCGCAACACGTGTACCTTCCTTCTTACTACCAGGGCCAAATGACCTACACCCGTAAGTTGTCTGTACTCTGTTTCTGTCACTCTTTCACATATCACACGTGCGCGAACATTCTCTCTCTCTACATATACATACATATATCTAATACATCTGTCAGCACATTCAAGGTACGTGAAACGAGTCTTGCGTACGTGCGAATCGGATCATTCATTTCGTTCCTCTTCCCTTTGGGAAGTTTCATTTGAAGAACCTCGCTGTTACCATTTTTTCGTTTGAACAACACTCCAAATGTCCGATGACTATTTTCTCGAACATGTTTGCATATTTCTTCTACATTTGCGTTTTCTACTTTTTTAATACAAACATATGAAACTTGCTAATGTGTTTCAGTAATTGTCATGGATATTGACGAGCGTTTTCTCTGCAATTACTTTTATTTGAACTTATCCTCCTTGTTTAATGTTTCTGGACTTTTTAAAGAACAGATCTAGATGTTGTTCCCTCCCAGTATAAACGTTTGAATATGTTTCTTCTATGCCACATCGTAGAACAATCGAAATTGTTCATTTTTATTGATCGATCTTTTTGACGCAGTTTATGTTCGATCCAAATCTTCTCTCCGTTGCCACGCGTGGAGACGTAGATACATACAGAGACGTGCACAGACATACACCTCTCCTCGAACCACTGTTCGTTCACACTCTGTTTCGTTTATCCTCCCGGTCGCTCCATTCTTCCTCTGTAAAATTGCGAATCTTTGTAATCTTTGAAACACCTTGTAGTAGCCGCAAGATGTTTGAGTTTTTCGACACTGCAAATAGTTTTTGACGTTTACGATGAGTTTTAAATGCTATCGAAATTGTACAGAAAGTCTGTCAAACGCGATTCTCCTTTTCATCCGTTCAAGAAAACGACTGGGATTGAATAATAGATTATTAAAGAAATTTTTTCTCTCACTGTCACTTTCAAAAACGAAGTTGCAAATTAGTCGAGAGCGTGTTACAAGTATACGCAGTAAGTTTATATATAGAAGTGGCGTTATCCTTACTGCTTATAATTCAACGAGATCATTATCATTAATTCATTACTTGTCAGGCTTGAACATATGAGCTCCCTTTATTATGCCCGAGTCGGTACTGTTACACAGTTTCTGCTCTATAACTTGGCAGATTTGTAAGAATGTTATCTATTTTTCAATTTTTTTACCGTAGGATACTCTGCAAAAAATTACTGCGTTTTTAATTCTAAACCGAAAATTAAGAATATTTTATAAAAGGGATTACCATTTTTTGATATTTTAAATAAGAATTGTTGTTTCCACATAATGTTGAAACAGAACAGAATAAAAATTGGAATAAAATACAGTTCTTTCTCGCAGTATTTTTAGTGCACTGAAATCATTAACATAAAGAAAGTTCTATTTTTACGGATTCTCGACCCTTGACCGCAGAAAAACTAAGTTTGCATAATTATTCGTTGTCAGCGTACCATATTCTCGCAAACATTGTCATTGTCAAGTCGCAATGCAGTAATTTTCAACCTGGGATATCATATCGAAAAGTCGGGGTATGCGAAGGAAATTATATAATGGAGAAAAAATTATATTTGCAAGACGGATAGCATGTTAGCAGTAATTGTTTCAATTACTAATCAATTTGAAGGTTAAACTACTCACAAGAACCTTAATTTAGAAATGTTTCGTTACTCTAATTATTTATTGCAATGGTGATCCAATTCAGGGAAATGGGTTTTTATGTATCACTTATAAAAACAAACTTTCGAGAAATTGCCGATGCATCAGTACACTTTTATCGACAATATTCGCGAAAAGTGATCTTCAAAGTAACAAATTCCGTGATCGTCCCGTCAATAAAGAGGGATGCAAACACGTGTGCCGTTCGGCGGTGGGTTTTCGTCCATAGAACCGCGAAAACGGTACACTAATGAAGTAGGCCGCGTTGTTACTGTTAATGCAATTTGCATAATAACGAGTTGTGCGATCATTACGTCGGCCGGCAGGAACAGACGCTGGCCTGTGTGGTTCTGTTTTGACGTATCATCCTCTGGTATATGCCTACACGCACTCCGCTTCAGCTGTTACGCAACAGCCGGTGTGTGCGTCTTGTACCATATTATTCGTGTAGTTAGTCTAACCCCTGCTGGCTGGCGAGCCGCCAAACACGATTCACGACCGAAATACCACAATTTATATAACGCGCATGTTTTCCCTCTTTTCACCCGTTTCCCATCGGTTTTTCCTTTTCCAATTATTCCACCGCTACCCTTTCTTTCCGCCCCGGCGCGCAATTAGTTTCCACGAATTTTGTTTTCCCTGCCTCTGCCGAGCCGCGTACCGTCGCGTAAGGGGCGCGGCGTACGCGCCAGAGAGGGAAAAGTGATCAACGAACACTAACGACGCCAGTTAACGTTAATTGATCACGTTACACCGTAAATGGGACGTGCATGCTTTGCGGGGTCGTTCAGGGAGCGCGCACCGTGCACACTCGATCGTCCTCCATGGAGCTGTCCGCAGCTGACACGTTGTTCACGGAC